GCCGCCCCCCCGCCCGCCCGCCCGCCGGCCTCGTGCTGCCCCTAGCGGAGCGCGGGGCACCCCGCACCCTGCTGGAGCCCCCCCAACCCTCCGCACCCTGCCGTTGTCCGGAAGGAGAGGCTTTTGCTGATTTTTTGTTTTGTTTTGTTTTTTTGCCTTGAGTGTCTAGATAAGAAACTGGAACTTTATAGGAGTGCTGGGTTTATGTATAATGTTCTTCATTTAATTAGGAGAATTCTCTTTTTAAAATTGGGGGGGGGGGGTGGGGGAATGAAGAAAACAGGGTTGTTTTCAATAAGCAGTAAGAATCTTTCCCTGAGCCGATGCTTTAGCTTGGTGAGGATCCACTTGTGTTCCATGAGAATCTCTATGCTGTGTAAGTTGCATAAAATAGTCCAAACTAAAAGTTTCCTCTCAGAAGAGATCACTGTGAGAATAATGCTCATAACTCAGTACTCTTTTATCTGTAATAACCACACAGGAAAAAAATAAATGAAAAGTGAAACTCATAATCTTTTAAAGGGGGAAAACATTTCAGATGGTTAAGCATATTAATATGATGCTTCTTCAGTTATCAGCTGAAACAGTTTCATAGATTGCAAGCCTTAGGAGCTTTGCTCCTCAGTTACTCTTGATTTTAATTGGAGTGCGCTCAAGAGGTTCTCAAGAGATCTGTGAGTGGATCTTAAATCTGCCCTTGTGTTAGACAAAACTGAAATAAGTGTATTTTTAAAACACACCGATACACCACTTTTCAGTGTACATGGATATGGAAAATGTGCATGACAGGTGATTTAGAGAGTTCTTTATGCTACTAGGTTTTGTCAGACTCACTGATTGTAGAAGCTATATAACAGCTCATTTTTCCTTCCAAGCCTAACTTACATAGGGCATAGGTTCAGCAAACGTGTACATTCATGGCTGTTAACTTTTCCAGTTATTCACATGGATTATATTCAATACATTTTTGTCAGATTAACCTCAGTGTACTGGGAAAAAATAATAAAGAAGTAATTAAAAAAAAAAAAATCAAAGGCAGGGTGCCGGTTGTAACAGTACAGCATATGGGTAACAAACACAGCAGTACATATGGTCCCTGTATTGGAAGGTTTTGGACACCCCACCCCCCCTTCCTGCTAACAAAGAAAAACATGTGTTGAAGACTGGGTTAACTCTGACCTTTTGAAAGGTTTGCGTGTAAAAAGTTTTTGAGAATACCAAGGGGCAGTAGAGTTTTCTGGCTTGCCTTGTTAACATTTCCCATATTGAGGATGAATTCTACAAGACCTTTGCAAATATGACTTTTTGTATAAAGTTATCGCATGGCAGAACTAGCTTGCATCTGTGATACTGGGGAAATACTGAGCAAGTGATAAATGCTGATACATGTTGAGTAAAGATATGGTAAAGAGCGAATTGTTATGAAACATATATAAGTTATAATATAATATAGTATGTTATAATATAATATAATATAGTATAATATAATATAATACACAGTAGCCTTCCTTTAAATTGCTGTGTGGAGCATTAAACTGACTTGCTTTTTATGGAGTTTTTTGCAGGGTCAGTAGCTGTTTGTTTTGACTTTGAGGCATTTTCAGTCAAAACTGTCATAAAATTTGTATACTGTTCTTACAGAAACCTGTCAAGCTCCCGTGACCTCAGTATTATTAGGAAAATACCAGTTTTCCTTCATCCTAAAATGCAAATCTTTTGTTTCATCATCTGTTTATGAAGTCCTTCATTCTGTGATTTGATGGACTGTACTGCCCTGTACACTGCCAAGTTACATTATTGAGATAAACGACAGCAGATTCAAAGATGAGTCATGACAGTAGTGCAGTATGTCTGATGCACTGGCAGTAGAGCACTTCAAACATGCTGGGAAATCTGAGATACTGTGTGGATAAAGTGCATTTAAGTGTGAATTTTGTGTCGATAACAGACAAGGTGGCCAAGTGAAACCAACTGCTACTTACAAAAAGGGAATGAGATGGGATGAAGTTTTAGTCTTGTGTCAGTCCCCACTCAGGTTTTGGGGTTTGGTAAGAGTCAAGAGCATAAAAAGAATGTAGTTCTAATTAGGAACTTTGTTTTCTTTCTGTGTATTTTTGTAAACAATCAATAGTGTAAAATTGTGTATAAAACTCTTGTATATAAGCCCTTTCCTTACTTTGTCGGCTGTTCATGACTTCGGATATGCCAGTTACTTAGAAATGTTGATTCCAAAGGTTTGTTTCATCTTCTTTGCTGGAAAAAAAAAGATATCACTGCCAAGACACCACTCTGAGTCTTCTAGCCGTGCTGATGGTCTTCATCCCCAGTTGCTGAAAAACATTAGCTTAGAAATATGACTGAAGTTATTCTCAGAAGTTTCTTTTTTACTTAGCTGAATAAAAGCAGTAACTCTTCCCATTTTTAAGTGGATAGCAGAAGCTCAGAAGAATGCCTAAGATGCTAGCCACATTCATTTGACTGCTCACTACATTCACTGTCTGTCATTGGCATGCTCAGCAAGGGGAAGAAGATCTTAATCTTCAGATAATAGCTGCTTTTTTAAGATACTCTCTGTGTGTGCCAGAGAGATCACATTCAGAGCAATGAGTATCTGCTGTACTTTAAGTATCTCATAATGGCAGCCAGAACTGTTAGGAAATTTTCTGACAAAACTTTTCAGTATAATGACTGAAGACCTGTAGAAATTGAAACTTGTGGGAGCACAGGTACTGAATTTTCTGGGTTCTCTAGTCCAGAATGGGATTTCTGGTCAAATCTGAAAAAGAGGCAGAGACTGTGAAGTTGTTCATGCCAGGTAACCTATTAAATGATGTATGAGGCTGTGTTCTTCTTGTTGCAATTTTAAGTATCCTCAACATCAGACAGTTGGCTGTGCTGAGTATGGCTGCCCTGTTGAAGCTGGTCCACTGTTGCATATGCATATTTTAGTACATACAGGTTAGAATGTATACCTGACACTCATGTTCTGAAATGCAGGTGAATACCGTAACCTTTACAGCCATTTTAGCGGCTGCTCTCTGGCTGAATCACTAATTTAATTATTTTTGCAAGCTGGAACACCTCTTACAGGAGTCTGAGAGCAACAGACCCTAATACAGTCAGCAGACCTGCAATTAGTATGTTTAACTGGGATATCAGAGTCTGGGATATGAGCATGTCAGATGTAGAAGTTTGGATCCATACTTTCTTCATACTAGTGGATGAGGCTCTTCGTTCTTCAGGGTGAGAAGGCATAATGAGGCTGTATGTGTAGGATTTATTGTTTTAAATACACAGTTTCTTCTTATATTCTTCTTTCATCCTGTGTTTTTCAAAAAGCAGTATCTATTTGTGGAATGAAAAACATTTGTAAAATTGACTGTGGTAAGTAATGATCCACAGGGCTAGTTATCAGGCAAGGCCAAGAGGTCTTTTTGCACAGCAGCCCATGCTGGGGTGAAAAGAGAGTTCAGAGCAGCCTGAGCATACTTAATCCTTTTCCTTTTGTCTTCTCTTTAAGCACTGGGTGTATTTTGGGAGTAGGACTCGTTCTTGCACTTATGAGTCACAGTAGCCAAACAGAATCGCGAGTGCATGTTTCTGCTTCGTTGCGAAAACTCTGCAAATACCTGGACAGCAGTGAGGACCAAAGCAGATGGGTCCAGGAGGTATGACCTATTTTATTGCAAACTTTAAATCTTCCTTTTACTTTGTTGCCCCCCTTTAATAACTATAGACTTTTTACTGAAGCCTTGTATCTGTAGTACTGGAATGCTTGGTTTCTGTTATTTTTTTTCACAACATATGGTTTTATACCTGCTGAAGAAAGCAGTAATAATAATAGAATAACCTGTAATGCTGCACAAACATTAAAAAACTGCCTGAAAAGATAACGGACATAATTCTTCAAAGTGCTTCTTTAATTCCTTAACCTCAAATGAAATTGTTGGGTCCTGTAACTGTGGATGTGGGGGTTTCTTATATACAGTTGTTTACTGCTTGTCTGATCTACTAGAAAGCAGACAGCAAGTTACTCTCAGAGAAAACCTCAGTGCTAATACTTCCTCCTTCAATATGCCTCCTGTTTGCTTCTTTGAAAGCTGCTGTCACTAGCTAATATGAATCTTGAAATTGTGAGTGCTGCTATGGCCCCATTTGCTGTTCTCTTTATAACTATGTTTTGAAGACTTAAACCGAGCTCTGCTAAGTTTGAGCTTGCATTTCAATTTATTTTGCCTGTATTGTGTCCTGTAAGTTTTGATGTCATCCATGCACTAAGTCTGTAACCTTGTTGAGGTAAAACTTGAGAGGGAGAACTGATGAAATTGGAGGACTTTACAACAGAAAACAAAAATCTCAATAAGCCAGTGTTTTGCACAAAAAAAGCAACCCTGTACTTGATGTATGTGAACCTGCAGCAGCTGAACAGCTGACTTGCATAATCCTGTTTTTTATGAGGGAGTTAGCAAAGATTGGTCGTGTTATTCTGTTTCCTCTCTTGGTATTGCTCTGGAAGATCTTTATTAAAGGTCTTGTTTTATGGAGTTTAATTTTTTTTGGCAGTACATGTGTGAGGATTAGCCTTTTGCAGTTTGTGGTTTATGCATTAAAATGACTTAGAGCTATGAAATCATTTATCTCTCCTCGGAGATCTCAAAGTGCTTCACTGGACTTAAACTGGGTTCAATATGGCAGCTTCTGAGATGAAAAGCAGCAGCTGTTTAACATCAAGGCATAGTTTAGGATGAGAAGCAAAACCTACTGTTTTCAGTTAAAATACCTGTAAGGAATTGTACAGATAATTATATGAGTAAAATTTGGCCAGCACCCTAGGATGAATACTACTATATTTATGAATTGCATGACAGGCTCTTTCAGAGCTATAAATGGCTGGGCTATAAACCTGTACCTGAGAGGTAACTTTGGCCTGCTGCAGCAAGAGGTACACTGAGCATTACTTGCTTCAAATGAAATTGTTGTTAATCCTGCACAGTAGGTGCTCGCTATTTCCCTTATAGCCATGTGCTCTTCTGTTGCTTAGCTTTGGTACAGGGGAGATTAAACAGTTGGCACAGTTGCCTGGTTGAAAGTTCAGGCTTCGTTTCCTCATTCTCCATATCAAAGGCTGAAGAACAGAAAAGCAGTGTCACTTGTGAGTCCTTCTGCAAGGACATGAGGCTAGTGTAGGCACTGTGTGTGGGAGACAGTTCTACTACATGCTCCTCTTCTGACCTTGTGGACCTGCGTGTAGTCATGATAGAATCACAGCATGCTGTGTGTGCTCACATGTATAACTATCAGACACTTGTGTTGAGAGGAATAACTACATTTGTTTGGAAGATCAGGAGTTTGACCTGCATAAAACCAGAAGTACTTCCAAGCTTTAGTTGTATTTTTTTAGTGTTAGCATCAATGAAGGATCTTCAGAGAGGGCATAAACATCTGGAAGTAGAGATTGAAAATGTCGTGGCTTTTTTATCATTCTGGCACATTGCTCCATGTGCACATTGCTACAGGGAATTTGATCAGGTACTGGTTAACACAATTAAATAACTTTTTTTCAGGTACTTGCCTATTCTGTGGCCTGTTCCTGTGTCTCTGCTTTCAGTGTTGGAATCATAGAAGCACCTGAGGCTGAGGAGGCCATGAACAAGCTACGGACCTTAGTGGAAAATAACCAGCAGGTCATAATTCAGTGTTTGGGCTTTGCTTCATCTCTTTTTTCCTCTTTATCTATTTAATATTGGGTACTGCTTTACCGAGACTGTAACTTTGAAAATTATATTGATTTACTTTCAGCATTAACTAACATGGAGTGTGTTGTGCATGCCATGCAATTACCAAGACTACCACTTGATCCATTGATGCATTGTCCACAGGTGTATTGCAATTACAAGATAATGACACAGGTGTATAGCAAGTACAAGACAATGAAATAAAAACAGATTTTTATGTGTTTACATTTAGAAGTTAAGTTGGTATGTTTGAGTTCTTCATGTCTTTAGTCCCTGTGTCATGCCAATTTTTGTCTCGTTTATAATATGTTTGTTTAGATTGCTTTTCTTGGTAGGAAAATACGTCTGCTGTGCTCTCCTGAATTTTTGCTTTCCCTTAGCCTACAGTGTATCATAGTGACAGCTTTCTCCAGGTGTCTTTTTCATCCCTAATATCCTAGGGTTACCCTCTAAAAATACAAAAAATATTCTCCATACTGCAGTGCATATTCTTTTTTGTCATGTGCTTACCAGAAAAAAAAAAAAGAGGAAGGAAAAAAAAAAAGGCAACCATTTTGAATCAAAGCTTGCTATTACACTAATCAACTGTTTGGAATGTTTATCTGGAAAATAGGAAGTCAAAACAAACTATCTTTGCTACAGCTTTTTATCTTCATATCAGAAAGTCTGCTCTAAAATAAAGGCTCCAGAGCAATCTGTGTGCCAAAGACCAGTATTTAATCTCAGAAAATCGTATGCCGCTTGACATGAGAAAATGCTTGAAATAAGAAAGCATCCAGTATTTTAGACAAAGACGTTACTTCTAATTATTGGCAAATAATAAATATTTAAGTAATGTTTCAATAATAAATATTAAAAAAAATGTGGGATCCTTTGAAGATCTGTCCTTTTCACCTTGCAGACCCATGGTTTTGCTTTAGCTCTAGGTGCAATAGTACATGGATTGTCAGCCTGTGGTCATGGAAAGGCTGAAGACCTGAGTAACAGACTAATGCCAGCGTGGATAAAAATTGTGCTTGCTGAGGTAAAGGAGTTGGAATTCATACCCCTTTTTTTGCAGGGCAGTGATTTCAAATTAGCAGTAGGGACATAATTTTCCTTGCTTTTGCAGAAGTGATGCTAGGAAAAGTCAGGACTATCTGAACATGCTGTTTCACTGATATTTGGAAGCAAACATATATCTTTGGGCTGTTTGCCAAAGTTAAAGAAGAGTTTCTTTTCTGCTTGGATGATTTATGGGAAATGCTTATCTCAATGAGATCTTAATTTGGACATCTTTACTAATTTGGAACAATAGCCAAGGATACAATCTAGGTTATTAATTAAAAATGCCTTGTGAAATTAGGGGCTAGTTATCAAAATAAGACTAACAATATGGCCATTATGGTGCCTCAGTTGTTACAATAATTTTAATTTGTCTCATTGTAACAAAAATTGCGTGTTTGAAATCAAACTCTAAACTTAGATTTTAAGATTGCAGCTGAAGCTAAAAAGAAACAGTGTTTCAGAGTTGAATTGCACTGACTTATTTGTGGAATATAGACTGTGCTAGAAGAAAGTGATTTGTCAGGGAGAAATGCATGATGATTTCAGATTGGGGGAGAGGAGGGGGAAGCTCCATGTAAAGCTTTCATTCACCAAGAGAGGGATGAATAATTATTCAGCATGCTGGAGTCTGACTGAAAAGTTTGTTGGGATGAGAGGTATACAAGTGATAGCAGTCATGGTTTTTAAATTGAAAGAAACAAGTGTTCTGTCCTATGGTAGTGTTGTGTGACCTCCCTGACTCACTGATACTCAATTATACACTTCCAGGGTTCTCCAACAATGCAGCGTCTGGCTGCTGTCAGTGGTCTGGTTGCACTGGTGGGCTCTGAAGGAAGCATGATACAGGTGAGATCGTGCAAGCAAATGGTACCTTTATCTTTTCTAGAAATTTAGCTAGAAGGCAAGATGGAATGACATCCTCTGCATCCTTACAACAGTGGTTGTGTTCCAGGGCATCCCATTTATGCAATAGTGAGTCAAGTTGGGTGTGAACCAAGCAGGTTAGAATTACAATGTGTAAAATGGGGTCTGTTCCATTTTCCCATCATATGGCCTATGTGCAGTGCCATTGGGGAAGAGTTTACAGCCATGTCGGCTTTCCCCTTTTCTCCTTCTCTCCCCCACAAAAAGGCATGTGTGCAAATTTAGTCTGTCTTTCTGCACCTGTTCTGTCTTCTGTTGTTTTTTTTTTCATCTTATGAAATTCACATCACTTTTTTTTTTTTCTTTTTCTCTGGCAGCTGAAATCTGAGATCATTCAGTCCTCCCAATTTCAAAGTAAGCTGAATGAAGTCATCAGAACCCTTACACAGGTAAGAAGGTAGCCTCTGTTTCCCGTTTTGGATAATGCACTAGAGTGCTGTGACACCTTGCACAAACAGACCAAATATGTTTAAAGAAACTGCATAATGTCTGTGTCCAGTTTGGATGAGACAATGTAGGTTTTTTTTTTCTCTAACTAGTGGTCTGTTGTCTCAACAGATAATCAGTTTTTCAGGGCAGATTGGCCTTCAGACAAATGCAGCAGGACTTTTGGGACGCCTTCATATGTCCTGTTTGTCTTCTACCCAGAACAGGGCATCCGGTAAGATGCTTTTTATTGCTGCTTAAAGAACATTCAGAAGTAGCATCTAGCTAAAAAGGCAGCAAGGGACACACTAGGTAATACAGACTAGACATTGCAGCCCTATCAAACAACATGACAGCCTTTGAATTGGAGACCTCATGGCCCTGTATGCCAGACCTAAAGGTTGGAACAAGAAGCAAGACTCAGTGTGCTGAATAGGCTCCCCCCGATCTGCTTTTACTTGCAGTATCAAAGTAAGGTTCTGAGTTGTTCTGGTCAAACTTGAATATTGCTTCCATCTTTATTCTTTTAAAGAATAAATTGTTAAAGTTGTTATACGCTGCGTATGGCACATGTGTTTGACATCTATGTTATCCACTCCATGCCCTGAGAACTCATTAATCTACTCTTCATTTTAGCTCTTCCCACTGTATATAAAGACAGCACTTAAAAACGGGTCCATAACAAGAGCAAGCTGACTTTTCAAAAGTGTTGATGGAGTTACACCATTGATGAAATACCAGTAATAGGAGAGAACTATTGAAGTGGACGCTGTTTACTTCAGCGTGAACCAAGTTGGGAACCAATAATATGAAGTGTAGATAAACTTCCTCATCTCAGAGTAAAGATTCTTGGAGTTTCTACTTTTGTATAATCTTGGCACACGTGCCAGAGCTTACATAGATATGGAATGTCTATGTTGTACTGAACTTAGGAAGCTTTTGAAGCTCTCCCTCTCGCAGTGGCTAATGCATTTTAAGGAAGTTCTTATCCCTGGCTTTTCAGTTGGTCAGTGAAATTGTTTTTTCAGACCTGGCAACTCTCACCAACACAAATGTTGAGCTTGCCTTATAAGTGGAAAGACCAATGCAGCTATCAATAACCTTGTGGTCTAAATGCTTTGAGTCACCTACAGAAATAGTTAGCTGAAATGTAGCTCATTTTGGCCTTTGAATTTACATGGGAGCTGGAGGTTATAATTTCTGCTGACGTGTTTTAGTATATGAACAGTCTTTGTCTTCACAGTTCCTCCAGATTTTAGCTACTTGCCTGAAAACAGCTTTATCAGGGCAGCCATTGACTTTGCCATTGAAAGTGGAAAGAAAGGTAAGAAGGGATCAAACTACAGTATCCCTCTGAGAAATTTGTTATGACTATAGCATGTGACCCTAATAACGCTCTTATTTGCTGTGAGAACTTTTCTAAGTTAATAACTACAGACCAGTCAGCCTCACCTTCATCCTTAGAAAAATGATGGAACAACTTATCCTTGGCACTGACTCTAGGCATATCAAGAATAAGAGCGTCATTAAGAGCAGTCAACATGGCTTCACCA